GGCTAAGAAAGTGATTTCATTATCAAATGAAGAAGTATTTACAGACTCAACTGTATGCACAAAACAGAGAGAATATGCTCTCTCTTTACATATATCTCACGGCATTCATTTCTGTACCTGTTCATCTTGAAAATAAAAAAATATCAACAACACAACTATCTATCAGCTACACAAACTCTCTTCAAGAACTGAAGAAAACTGCAAACTTTCCTACACCACCTTCTATTACTAGGAGTATCCTCCATCTTTTTAATGCAACTCAACTTAATCTTCAAACAGAAAATTATTTGTTGAGCTAACTTTTCCACATCAGGTTGAACTTTACTGAAGATCAAAGCATTCCTCGCAATCAAAATAGTATACACACTAGCTGCAACTGCCGCCCTTTTAACTTTTGCACAGTATCCTTTTCCTTCCCATCTTCTAAGTGCCCAAGGAATTAAGATTCTGCAACTGAAAAGGAGCCACAGTACCACACCATTATGTATAAAATAAGTTGCAGCTCTCCATGTTCTCTTGCTAATATGACACTCAAAAAAATAAATATTCAAGAGTTTCCTCAACAGAACCGCATAGGGGACAAGTAAGATCAATATCCATACCTATTCTTCTTAGATGAGCTCTTGTGTGCAGCCTCTCATGAAAAACCAACCAAAGAACAAAAAAATGCCTTAGTATGTTCATATTACTCCACACAAGTTTTCTCCCACTTACCTTAGTACTGGAATGTACCTAGGTCATGTATGTAGCTTTAGAACTATAAGGTGTTTATCTCGCTTTTACTAATTGTATAGTACCTATTATGACTCGATTGATGTCTTTCTGCTTAGGAATTTTTATTCACGATTTTTTCTTTTTCTCCATTTCGAAAATATGACAGGGTGTTCATCCGACGGTTAAGGGAGAGGTCTGGGAATTTCTCCTCGGGTGCTATGATCCTGATAGTACTTTCGACGCACGTACTCAGTTGAGACAACAAAGAAGGTAGTAGTTTACCTCTGCCTGTCTATCTGCCCAACGACTAAATTATTTTCTCATTTGTATACACTTTAATCTCTTTGCACCTTTTCCTTTTCTAACGTCTTACATGCTCAAGTTCCTGCCGATTTATGTCTTTTCTTTCAGTTAAATATATTTATTTTGATAATTGATTAGAAGTAGTCAGTTCTACGTATGATTAGGTAGTATAGCCATTTTAGGCTATTGCAATGTCACCTTGTAATCCATGAGATATGTATGGCAGATCTGAGTATAATGCATTAAAGTCAAAATGCATGGAGATGGAGCAAACAGTTGGCAGTGGAAGACTAGTTACAACACCGGTGATAACAGAAGATGGGCAGTCTGCTGAGGACCTGAGTAGTGTTTCTCCGAAATATAACATGCAATCGAATCAGTGCAAAAAAGACGAAGTAATTATGGACAAAGAAGTCATCCAGTGGAAGCTTACCTTGCATCAGATAGGTAAAAACTGACAAAGATAACTTTCTTGAACCAGTTTATTTTGCTGTAAGTTTAGATTTTCATATGCATTTTGGGAGACACTGTACTCTTGTGCTGATTATTGAAAGTAGCGAGAAATTCTTTACTTAAGTTATTGTAGTTAAAAAAATGGCAGATTTACAGTAGTGTCCATTTCTTTGAACTACTATACACAAGTTTATTAGCATTACAGATAATATCTGAAAATTTGTCAAAGAAAGCTTTAATATGCTTGTCTTTACTAAGAACTAACTGCTATTTTAAGCTTTAATGTGCTTGTCTTCACTAAGAACCAACTGTATTTTTCTCTTACTTTTTATTAATAGGTTTGGATGTTGTTCGTACCGATCGGGCTCTTGTTTACTATGAGAGCCAAGAAAATCAAGCAAGGCTTTGGGATATACTAGCCGTGTATTCATGGGTAGATAAGGATATAGGTTACTGCCAAGGTGAGTTAGCTGTTCGTAGAAAAAAATTCAATACACGCCATTACAATCTAAAGAGGATTGTCCTTATGTTTCTCTATGTCCACACTGACTCAACAGTTTTTGAACAGGAATGAGTGATCTTTGTTCACCAATATCAATTCTTGTTGAAAATGAAGCCGATGCTTTTTGGTGCTTTGAACGGTTAATGCGAAGAATAGTATGTTTATTTTTTCCCCCAATCTTAGCCCCTCTATAGTTTGTATATGCCTGTTCTTGTTTCTTATTTCATTTCTTTTAATCATCAAACATTTCTAATGCTTTTATCATGAGCCTTGCTTCTTGCTGATATCCAATACCCAAAGTTAGCTTGAGGAGAAATATCACAACCTTTTCTTCATCCGATATTGCAGGACTGTATAACTTTTCTGATTCATTTAGTCAAATTTAATAAACAGATAATTCTGGTATTTGTCAACATTGTTGTTTATAATTTAAAAACAGTAAATTGCCTTTTGATACTTCAATTAACAAAGCCTCTTAATTTATTTAAGTCGAATATCAGCAGAATCTGAAATATTCATGTTAATGGTCAACTGTCAGACTTTCGTGTTATATGTTCACCTACATTTTTAGTGAAATTCTTGTGTAACTACTTCTGACTATTGAACAGAGGAGATTATTTCCTTGCTGATATCTTGTACTTCCTATCTTCTAAAGTTGTTCTGTAGTTATGTGGCT